GCTGTGTGATATTTACAGACTGACAGTAATTTTTCATAAAACATTAAAGCAAGCAAGTGCCCCCAGTGAATCATAGAATGGTTTGGGTTGGAAAAAACCTTAAAGATCATCTAGTTCCAACCCCCCTGCCATGGGCAGGGACACCTTCCGTAGACCAGGTTGCTCCAAGCCTCATCCAGCCTGGCCTTGGACACTTCCAGGGATGGGGCATCCACAGCTTCTTCGGTCACTTTAAATGAACAAATTATTTGGACATTGCTGACGATTTATGCTTCTATGCAAACGCAGTATTTTTGTTACAAGTATTCTGCTTAAATAACTGTCTTGCAGGAGGGCACAGCCTTCCAATTGACAAACTTGTCACTTCAGCCTGTTCAGTGCCAGTTACTTCATCAAAAAAAAAAAAAAGAGAAAAAAAACACTGCCAGGAATGGTCTGCTGCTTTCTACTGCGCTGTGGCAGACGAATTATTGTTGAGCACCTACGTTCATAACACAGGTATCACATTCATACCCTCCTACCCCTTCTCCTGGCTGCCAATGCAAGGCAGACTAGATTAGTTAATTACACCTTTCCTCCTTAATGATGGAATACTCAGAACTAACTCTTATTGATCCTACAGAACACAATTCATGACCTAATTACGGTGATAAAACTGCAGGATTATCATCTTGCCAGCTATTAACTTCTAGCACTGATCTGAGCTAATTAGAAAAGAGATAGGTGGTTTCTACATTCTTGATTTGCAACATAACAGCAAGATGAATGAGGAAGGCCGTTAAAGGTATGCCAAGCAATTTCTAGCCCTCAACCTACTCTCAGCTCTCAACCTACTACTGATCCTGCCCAGGAAATGCCAGACACATTTAACACTTTAGCTACATTTCTTCAGCCATTTGAGTCATTTGCTCAGTGGGACAACTATGGGAATACTGTAAATTTTACAGAGGTTCAAAGGTGGAGCATGGACCTTAATTTTCTTTATCTGTCTTTTAGGGAATTGAGGATGTTAATCTAGGTTCATGTTTTGGACAAAGTCTTCAGTCACTCACAGTCTGGATGGGGTGGGGAGAGGGGGGAGAAAAACAATCAAGATAAGATCCTTGATTTCCAGAGTCAAACTCACCCTCCTCTTAACTGCAATGATGGGTTGTGGCTGAGCAAAGAAAGAAAATCCTCTTCCCTCACCAACCCTTCACTGTGCCTTTCTTGAAAAGGATGTAGCCCCACCTAAGAACCAAACTTTGATTTCCTTCATGGCTGCTCAGAAGACTGCCTGTTAGGTCACACAGTAAATCTAGAAGATGAGAAACTGGAGTTTTCTACCCTACTCAGGGCTCATCTACGCAGGAAGCAAGTCAGCAGCAAAATAGGATGTGCATTTATAAAGCGTTACCTGTGCTATATGAACTTCCTGCACGTTCGCTGTAACACGCACGGTGTCTTAGTTCGGCTTCCTAACTGAAGTCAGCTCCCGCGCACAGACGCAATCTCAGTGCTCATTAGAAATGCCCACACGAGTTATGACATAGCCACCGTGATGCATGCTGTCTTCCCCATATAGGTAATCTGTTTGGTTTTAGTGTTATGACTGTGATCCTCGAGATGAGGGTGTAATTTCTTGGCTGTCTGCCACCCAGACAAGTCTTTAGCAGTTGAGACTATAAACGCCAAGACAATGGGCTGGTCAAGGAAAAACAGCTTTGAAGTTGGGCAAGAGTGACCAAACAGAGATTTCTAGTAATACCAGGAATTTGAGTTGCTTCAGCCATATGAATGGAGAAGAAAGCCCAACAGCAGGTAGAAGCTAGCAAGTATCAGGGGTTAGCGTGGTGCAGAGCAGACCTTATTTTCTCATGTTACAGCATGAGTTCAACAAACCACACCAACCTCTCACTTCAGATGCAGATACCAAAGAAACCTCCCAGTGCCGAGAGTTAGACAGTTAATCCCGCGGGTACCACTGCTGCTGAGGTTGCTGACTTGCCCTCAAGCAGGCTGTCAGTGCACACACACCACGCACAATTACCCGGCATAATAGGGCTGTGAGGTAAGCATGAGTCCGCATCAGTGAACCTGGTACGTCTCTGATGTAAGGCATCAGGCCAAGTGCTCTCGATTTCACCTTGCCATCAAAAATGTGCAGCTATCCCCATACAATCCAGCTTTGTCAAGTGCATGACTGCTTTAAGGGAGATATTAACACATGAGGAAAGAGACTGATGCAGTCTCATAGCACGGCTGGCACTGGCAAAGCAGGAAAGCTCACCCCATGGAAGTGCACACTAGTTGTTCATTCAGATTCTGGCTGACACCAGGAGAGATCAAGCTGGGAGAGATACCTGTTGTAGGAGACTCTTAATACAAAATAAACTTGAAGCTTGCAATAAAATGTGATGGGAATTGAACAGTTTGCACATAAGGAATCTTCCGTATCTTCAGAAGTATTTGATTAATGGGCAAACAAAGCTGAAATATCTTTGCAAGGTAATCTCTCCCCTGTTATTTGCTACCACCCGGTCTAAATGGTGGCACAGAGTTTTCACACAATTTGTTCCAGACTACATAGAGATCCACACTTCTGTGCCTATTCTGAACGACGAGACTGTACTGCCTCGCAACACGCTGCCAGCAACACACACTCGAAAGGGAAATACAAGAGATTAGCAACATCTTTAAACACCCCTAAGGTACTGGGTTTCCCATAAGAGAAAGCAATGAGTAAGAAATGGAAAAAGAAGAGTTTACTTCCGTTTTAGAAGTTGCTGAACTGGGGAGCACTTTGTTATGTGACTTTTTGAAGTATTTCCACTGTTACAGGGGAAGCCTATTCACAAGTGCTGTGGGTGACCTGTTCCCAGCAAGAGAGATTTTGATGACCTGTAACTCATCAGGAGGTTTTCATACTCGGCAAGCTATTGTGTTGGATGGTCCATGACAAATCAGTTTCCTGCATTCATTTGTCTCAGTCTCTTCCATGACATCCTCTCTAAAATTTTACTGCTCTATTGCTTACAAACACCTCCTCCCCACGCAGTTCCTGCTGGGAAAGGCTGTTAACCAGCTCTCCGAGATGTTGATGAGAAACTTACCAGATGAGCATGCTGGAATGTACAGCATCTCTAATATCTTTGTGGAAAATGCATCATCTTGTTAAGAAAAAAGCATGAAGAGGCCTCAGAGAATCATACAATTTTGCTGTTTAAAAGGAAATTGCGAGTCAGGAAGCTACTGCTACATAAAGGCACGTGCACTCAAATAACCGGATCAAAATTAGGTAAATATTACTAATTCCTCTGGTAAAGCATTAACTAAAAGAAAAAAGAAAACCAGATGAGAGAATAAGATCGAAGAGGAAAGCAAGAAAAAAATACTGTTTTACTTGAAGCAATTTGTCCAGCTTTTCTCTATTTTTTAGAACAAGAAAACCAAGAAAATTCATCTCTTGAGAGAAGTGGGTTGATTAGGTGACCCTACTATTTTACAAGCAAATGCACGGAACTGAGTTCAAAGAAACGGCGAGTGAGTAAGAAACCCAAGATACCATCTCTGAAGTAAACATGCAATGGGCGTAAAAATCAGCTAGAGCTAGATTACGCTACTGTCTTAAGGTTAAACATTACTCAAGGTTAAAATTATTCTACAAATTAGATTCCTGACCCCAGTCAGAAGCGCAGAAAATCAATGAAAAAGGCGCCTGGTTATCAGCGGGCACGTAACGCACCGTCAATCCAAGTATGGCACACGAGCCCTACGCGTTTCGGACCTTTTTTGTTCAGCAGTGACATCTGTTGCTATCCGGACCATCACATAAGTCTGCCAGAAGTTCCACCCTTCCTAACTATCCAGGAACTGTGTCTCATAGTCTAGTGAGCTCACTGCCACATCAGCAAGATGATGGAGAATGTTTCCTAGAACCCAAGACAGGGGTACCTGTGCTAACAGTTACTAAGAACAGTTTACTTCAAGGCAGGAGGAGCATGAGAATGGGGGGGGGAGGGGGAATGATCTGATTAACTAAAATACTTGTTCTATGAGTAATTTTTTAAAGCAGAAATTATTTCCATTTTCCTCAAAGCAAGGTCCCAAAGAAGTTACACAGAACAACTTGTCTTCAGGCACAAAACCTGTCAACTAAGTTTCCAAGTGAGACTCAACAAGCAAAAGGAAAGAAGATCAAACTCATGCATGACTAAAGGTATCTGCATGCATCACAGATTCAGCACTGACATTAAAAAAAATGTATTCTTAATATTAAACTAATAATCATTCATATTTTATGTAATTCAGTTTTCCAAGAAGCATCTCCAAAACCATCCTATGAAGAGTGGCAGAATATGATACCCATTTTATCCCCAGGGAATCAAAGGGAAAAAGAAAATGTCAGAGATGCCAGCATATCTGCAATGGCACCCCACAGTCTCAGAGCATGGACCACGTGGATTCAACCAGTAGGCACCACACATTTAAACATACTAGACTAATGATGCAAAATACACCAGCTTCCCAGAATCACTTCAAATCAAACAAGTACAGAGGAAACTGCCCACTCAGGAGGAGAGGAGAAACGGCCTAAGGAGGAAGAGGGAAACTGCAATGGGCTGGCACTGATCATCTTAGCATTCACGCTAGTTTACACATGGTCACTAGAGAACTGAAACGGGTCAGAAACTTTTGATGTGATCTGGGGTCTCATGAAAAATATCCACTGTGCTCAACTTAGAAATCCCGTATGCAGCTAATATAGGATCAAGCAGGTCTGGAACAGTTTTCTCTATCACTACTATTTTAGAACCAAGTTTGCCTAGCGTACTTTAGTTAATTAAAAAGCTGAAGAAGTGACTGAGAATTTGGAGTCAGCCAAAAGGAATCCAAAACCCATGAGAAAACTAACGGACCTAATGAAATTACAGGCACGTTTCTTCAAGATAACAGAGTAAAGCTGTAAAGAATCATATACACACATACATTCAAACAAAGGAAAACATTATTTTACTTACATTTCAGTGGCTATGAATCCGGTGAGCTCAGACAGGAAGAGAAACAGTATGAAGAGACAGCAACAGACAGAGACTGGAAAAGAGGCAAGAAGAGGAAAAGGTTAGTTTCATATCTCTAACACAGTCAAAAACTGTTTTCACACAGGCATATATTTCCCCCCCAGGATATGCCACCCAGACACACTTGAGACAACACAGATAAGACCATCAGAGCAGTGACTTCAGTGGTGTGACAATACCCAACATCCTGCAGGGTATCTTAATTCTTGGGCCACCTTTTCCCTTACAATTTCCATCTCTAGCACACAACAGTGGTCTGCTGGATCTCCCTCCTTCATGACAAAGCTGCTTGACAATATGACTTCTTTGGACTCCTTGCTCCAAATGTAATTTTCTTACTACTAAAACCTCAGAAAGGAAAAAGAATCAGCACGTCCTTGCTTCAAAAGCATACAGTCAGCTACACAGTGATGTGGATTAGGAGACATTTAGGTTTTCCATCAAGTTCTAAGGCTATGTGTACGTCACCTCACACTCTGCACTACCCACTAGATAGAGCTGGTATGCAGGATCATGGCAATAATGGACTAGTCTAGCCAGTGCCTGGTACCTCTCTAATTCTCCATTTGCCAATATATCAACTCTTCAGAGAGGGAAATTTACCAGCGAAGGAACTGCAAAGTACCTGGACAACAAGTCCCATGGGTTTTCTAAGAACACCAACCTAGAGTTACCCACAGTAACTGGCATATTACTGGTTACTCTTCATCAGGAAAATATTCAAAACATTGTACAATGACATTCATGTGGCAGTGACAGAGTCACTGACCTGCACAGGAGGGGCTGGAAGGAAGGACAGCTGTAAACCCTATTGAACAGGGCTGACTGGAGTAGACAAGGATGTGCCAACTCAAGGAGACAGGACAATGTGTATTTGTATTAAATACCCAAGTTCACCATGAATCACTATACGAAAGAGTAAACCAGGAAATAGCATGCTATCCCAGGGCTGTGACAACAGGAGTACAATCTGGCTCAACCCTCAATCCCAGCAGAGTCGCAATGACCAAGCACTCTTTTACCACAGCCACTAATTAAGATTGAGAAATACATAAGAAAAACCCTGTTCCTCAACTTTATTCCACAGGACCTATACAGCCTGAATACCCATTCCTTTGGGAAGCTCAAGCAACAACTGGCTGGAGATTTTATCGTACAACTGTGACTGTCCAAACTCCCTTGGTAGAGAATGCAAGAGGCAAGGGAAGGAAAGAGGAGGGACTTAAGGCAAATACTGGGATAGACCCTCAAGTGACCTAAAGCCTTGTGCCTCGTTCTTCAGAGTAGTCAATTTATAGTTCTGAGGAAAGAAAATGTGTTGCTTCCCTTCCTCACAGTCATTTCAAGGGTGGATTAATTTACTGACCCTCTGGAAAGTGCAAGGAATTATGCCAAAAAATCCATTAGCTAGGATGAAGAAAGAGAAAAGGGAAAAACCAAAGACCAGTAGAAAAATGGGAAGCAAGAGGGGATATTCATTTCTAAAGAGAAACCTCAGATGGTAACACAGCTCCTTCCAAGTCTGGGATGTCAAGACACAGAACACCATCGCCGCTGTAAGCCAGCTACGCCATTGGCACGGTGCACCATGCAGCACAGGGGAGGAGGAAGGTCTACTTCAGGCACAGCAGCAAATTATTCTGAGAACACAGACACCTATGTAAAAGCACACAGAAGTAACCTAGGCACAAGACTAGTTGGTCCAGTGTTTCTTAGTATTAATCACGGAACAGCTGAGACATAAGATCTCTGCTCTTTGGCAGTATGCAGGGAAGAATGTTCGACATAGAGACAAACCTTCCTTCTTTAATTGCTTCCCATATTCTTCTCTGCTTGTTATCATCCTGTAAAGGCTTTCTGCAGCATTGGATAGAGCCCACCCCGCTCTCCAGCACTTCAGTGCAAGTCTGGTACTACTAACTGTAAATTCTCACCCAGAGCTTTCTCTCTCTTCCATTTTTTAAACTATTTTCTCTGCCATTTACATAATCAAAATATCTTCTCCTCCCCCAGTATACAGAGTGTTTGCTCCCTCAAGTCCATCTTCCAGTTCAGCTCTTGCAGCAAAAGTTTGTGACAATACTTGACCAAATGCAGTACAGGAAAATTTCACTAACATGTACCTAAAAAATCCTGCAAGAATTCCCTAACACATTTGGCAAGGACTGACTTTCAAGGCTCCTCAATGTTTTTGCCAGTCTTCAAACTGCACAGTCAGTAAAATGACTACTGAGGATGGACGTGAGAGGGGTGTGTAAAATCGTGAGCAGCCTGAAGGAGATGAATGGGGAACAACCACTCACTGTTTCTTCCAGCAGGGGAACAGGAGGGAAGGGGGAGGTTAAAAACAAGGTATTTTCCTTTACGCAACACCTAACGAAATTTTGGAAATTCTTGACCATGGATGTTGAGGATGCTTTAAAAAAAAGAAAGCCTATAAGATTTCAAAAAGGAATTATACATGCCCTGAAGAAGAAATCCATTGAGGGCTGCTAAACACAAAGGAACGACCTTTAGCTCAGGAAGTTCAGAACTCCCAAATGACCAAAGCCTGGCAAAGTGTTTAAACTGTCCTCATGCTCTTTCTCAGGCATCTGCTGCCAGCCGCTCCAGGCAAGAGGACACCAGGCTACATGTATATTTGCACTGACCTAGGCTGCTCATGTGTTAAACTCTTCTCGCACACACACACTTTAAGGGCAGGGGGGTGTCTCTGGCTTATGTGAAAGTCTTATACATTAAACTGCCTCTAGGGCCAATGTTTCTTCAGATGCAGAACATGAGCTCCTCTCCTTAGCAGGGAGCTGCAGGCATATACGAAGATCCCAGCACGCAAATTTACACACGCAGTGCTTCAGCTACTTATTTCATAGTGAAGGTCTTTACTTGCTCCCATGCAAATGTGCAGTTCCTGCCACCCACATTTGACAACTGCATTACATTTGGAAAAGTAGATTAAAGGCTAGGATCAGACAGAATAAAACAATTCATGCATAAAGCTTAGCTTAACTGCAAGAGCACTGCGTGTTCCCACAGAGCTCGACAGACCATCTAAGACAGGTTGCTTCAAACTCAACTATGGCCAAGCAATCAATATATCAAAGGTTGCTGGTGTTAGGCACACTGCTGTTGGCTAATCCCTAATTCCAAGGATGGGAAATTCTGATGAATTTTATTTCCTACGCTAGCTTTGACAACCTAACCTTTTCGTACATACCCCTTCTGATACATACCCCATCTACGCACATTCCTGGCTCTTCCTCCCCACCCCACAAGAAATGAAAGAAACGTGAAGTGTTTAACACACCACACAGACTGAGAACGTGGATCCATGTCTATATTAAGGCATAAAATTAATAGCATTTATTATTTAATGGAGCAAACTGCTATGAAGTGCAAGGAATGGGTTTTGTTACAGATGCCATGTGAATCATAACTTTGATATTTCCTGATGTGTATTTAAAACTCCAGCCTCCAAACAGCATAGAGTATTTCTGGATAACATTAACCATGTGTGCATACAACACGTGCGTGCAAACTATGCATCCACGCTGACGGCTACATAGCAGGACTGCTACAGCAGCTGTCCGAGTTGCAGGCCCCTCTCTCAAGAAGTCAGACTGCTTCTGTCCAGCCAGAGGCCAACTGTCAGCCAGCCAGGGCACATGCTGCTGCTGTCTACATACCCAAACATGGCCAAGTTGTCACCACGTTAGTCAGGTCTGTTAGAATGGCCATGTGCTGGCATCACAGACATGCGACGCAGGGGTGGGAAGGCCTGCAAAGACTGGCACAACCATCTGGCGGAAGAGGGACAACAATGGCATGAGCGGCTGAGTGGCACAGGGAACCCAATGCTGCCTGAAAGCAGCGATTTTTACTGACAGAAAGGAATGAGCAACTTTTCAGAGAAGTCCACAGCGGTGGGTATGTAGTTCTATACAAACCTCACTCCAGGAAAATGCAATGGACTGTTCTTGGTTCCTTACCCAGCCGGAAGGGTTGCTACGCAAATCTGAAATATTGTGTATGCCGCGTTCACCGCGACTTTTGAAATTATAAAGCCTCAGTAACACTTCAGTTGGCTTCTGAACTTGCTTGCATTCGAGATCACCTGCTCTTCTCCACCAAAATGCCCTAACACTTACTCTTCCTGAGCTGCTTCTTTCCTGGAAGAGCTGGCCACTTTAGCCCTGGGGGTCAGAAGCAGAGCTGGTATTTTCTATGTGTTTGCTTCTGTAATCTGATCTACACCTTCTTCCCTAATAAACCTCAAACTTTTCAAAAAAAGGCCTTATTACAATTCAAAAGCAACTGTAGGAATCCTGCAGTAAATCCACTCCTATTCCAGAAAGCCTTCAGCACCAGAAGTGATACCAAACTAGAGTTTTGGCAGAAATCATGTGGGAACGACCTAAACTAATAGTTGGCTACCACCATTTTTTTAATATCTGCTCTGTCGGTCAAACTTGAAGGACTTAAAGTCAAAATGCAATTTCAGCCATAGTCGTTTCACATATTTACTGGACCCCAGAAGATTTTTTGAGAGGCAGAAACTTCCCCTAATCTCAAGTCCCCAATGTTGTTATAAGCTGACTTCCCTAAAGCATTTATCATGAAATCACACAGCCTTCCCAGGCTTCAAACTGGCATGGCAACAGGCTGGTCTCGTTCATGGCCTCCTACAACACTCAAGATTACTGGCTTTCAAATTACAAGTCGCAGGGTTGGTCAGACAGAAAGCCATTAGGAAAGCTGCACACAAGATCCTCACATCCACCACAGTTTGCTGGCTGCCTGTGTGGTTCAAAAGCTTCTATCAGCCTGCCTAAAAACACTCTGACAAAAAGAAGGAGAACCAGTTAGAGAAGAAAATCAAAGCCTGAGAAGCTGCAAATAACAATATAAGAAATAAGTCAGCTAATAATTTTAAGAGTCACAGCCTTCAAGCCTTCCCACAACAGACTTATCACTCAAGCTGTTTACTGGAGATCAGAAAGCCCAACACTGGATGGCCTTTGATGGTTTTTTTTGTTTCTAAAACATACTGTTTTGCAGGTGATTCATTAACAAGACAAATTTTCAAAGGGAGCCCAGTTATAGTGTGGGAACTCTTGGTTTCCAAAACAGAAGAGAAGGCAGGATCACTAACAAGTTCAAAGTGTTCTTTCAAAACACTAAATCTCATATGCCTCTAAATTAGCAAACAGTTTTATTCAAGCCCTTTGTTCACAGTTTCAGCAAACCTGAAAGGGAGTCAACATACAAGTAATAGCGGTCAGGAGAACACAGAGGACAAGGACTCTCTGAAAGTAAATAATGTGCTATCTTCACAGAAGCACAGCATAGTTGAGGCTGGCAGGGATGTCTGGAGATCATCCCACCCAACTCCCCTGCTCAAGCAGGGTCAGCTAAAGCAGGTTGCTCAAGGCCAGGTCGAGTTGTTTTGAGTATCTCCAAGGATGGAGACTCCACACCACTCTGGGCAACCTGTTCCAGTCTTCACAGTAAGGAGGGAGGAGTTTCTTTAGCGCTCAAAGGGCTTTCCTTCGTGTCCACTGATTCACTACTACTGATTCAGTTCTAGTTGATGCCTGCTGTCACCAAGGGATATGACATCACTCACGTCAGCAATGACATACAAGGCTACTGACCCATCTACAAGAATGGATGAATGGAGCACAGCTACATGATCAAAGGAAGTCACTGTTCAATGGAACAGGAAAGCTGCATTAGGCAGCTAATTACAGGCCTGGCAGGATCAACCTGATCAATGTTTACCACTCCGCACAGTGCATTCACCGCATATAATTGTGTGAAATTGCATTACTCAGCCTACAACCTCCCTCAGGAGGAGGAAGGAAGGAAAAGGGGCCCAAGGCGAGAGATCTGTATCAGCCGAAGCCTATGTATTGATACACAGGAGTGAGAGTGGATTGTTATCGCTGGTTTCTGACCAGGCAATTCTTCTTCTTTAAAAGCATGACAAATAATAACAAAATAAGATCTCTGCTCATTACTCCCACCTACAACATCAGATGAATCCCCTTGGTACATTGTGAGAGAAACAGGTTTCCCAAACCATCTTCACCGCTGGGCACTGCATATCGCCACCCACACTGCTCCTTACTGATCCAGAGCCTGGATTCAGTTTTCAGCAATTTGGTTCCCTAAGTCTCTTCAGAGAGCAAATACCTGGGCTTACTAACTGTGAATGCAACTGTCAGCAGCTGCTTTTCCATGCTGACTGAGGGGATGCCTATCAGAGAGGTAAAAAACATCTGTGGGCATCCTCAGTGTTCGGAGCAGATTCGCAGCTTCTGTTCACAGGATGACACTAGCAAAAAGCTCTCTAGTTACTTCAGTAGCTAGCAGAGTGGGTGATTCAGCGCTAGGTTTAGGAGCTCCCTTTCCTGAGGATACATCCCTACTACTTTTTGTTCTTGAGATTCTGAATCCATGCAAACGACTCTGCCGTTTAGTACCACCTGACAGATTGGGCAAAATGAGCTGTCTCAGCAACAAAGGATACCCTTTCCAGTGTTTAGGATCCCTTTTAAAAAGTTCCCTGGAGACAGAGAAGCCAAATGATCACTAATTTTAGACCAGGGGTATACAAGGACATCAAAAAGAAGTGTTACTTACTAATAGCCCCTGTGTAGGTTGGCTGCGTAAGGTCTTTTGGCACCTTCCTGTAGATGTCAAACCTGAAAGAGGAAAAGCAACAGCCATAAAACAGGTGGAACATTTCAATACATTTCGTGTCCCCACAGGGATGAAGGATACTGAAGTTTTTCCATCCAGCTTTCCAACATTTTTTCAGTTTGCAGAAGGATATGAGAAGGAAAAACAAAGCAAAACAAAAAATCATTTTTCTTTTGTACAATTACGTAACTGCACTCCTTCTTGGCTCCAATTTCCAAAGCATTTCTCTCCGCCTCACTGTCATGATCTATGCAATCCGAACTGTGAGAGATGCCAGGGAAGAAGTCATGCTGAACAAATTTATAGACCACCGTAAAAGGAAAAGGATACTCTTACAGAGCCCTGAATAAAGAGGCTTGGCAAAAACACCCCAGTGGGACACAACATATATTGCCCCTTGTAGTTTGCATCCTGCAATAACCAGAAAACGACAATGCCAAAGTCAGAAATCAAGGTGTTAAGACAAGAAACCTCCCCTTGGACACTGGATACACAGCAGAAATTATCCCAAGAAGTTTGCTACTCCCCCAGCAAAATCTAGTTTAATATTAGACTGTTGTTTTGATTCAGTCATATCTTTTAATATCCATATGGCTCAGCTTTGCTATTTTAAACCCTCCATGGTTAAACTTTCACTGCCCTTATGAAGTTAGCTGTATTATTTCCTACAACCTTGTGTTCCTGCACAACCAGCCGCAATGCAGCTCTGACATCAGTTTTTCCAACACCCAATAAAAATTAATTAATGCATTAAAAACACACACACCCTAAAGAAGGAAGTGACTGGTTTTCCCCCAAATAGGCTTTTTTTTTTTTTTGGATATACCACATGTGGGTGAGATTTTGATGTTTTTTCCAGCCCTGGAGAGGTATGAGAGACACTGGCTTCCAAATTCCTATTCTATACTGCACCAAGATGAAACACACCCATGTTTATTCAGTAGTTCCTGCTATACTAAAAACTATACTGAGAGTTTAAAAACTAGATCATTCTTATTTTCTTCACTCTTCATCTGTAGAGATCACTTATAACTTGGAGGCACTCTGGGTAAACAAAACAGCATTTGCCTTCCATGAAATCAGAAGGACAGTGATGCTCTGTTTCGTACAGAAGCTGAAGCTGGAGGAAGGAAGGGTAAGAGGGGAGGAGAATGGGTATAAAGATAGCTCACCTACCCAGCTCAAGTCCCAAACACGCTATGTAATCGCTTAACTGTTCCAACAACCCACTGCAAACACTTGACAGATCATGCTGCACAGGATAGGTATTGGAGCTATGCTTTTATGACACTACTCACTGCCATCTCCTAAATAGATTAGTAATATTCCTGAACCAAACAGTCCATTTATGGCTCTCCAGCTGCCCTGAGAACATCTGGAAAGTGCTGTTTACATTCTTTCCACATACACCAAAGCAACAGCAGCAGTGGATGGTAAAGCAACCCAGAGTAGCTGGTGACATCATGGTCTCACAGGCAGAGGAAGTAGCTGATCGTTCCTGCTCACAGCCCATTAAATGCTGAATGCTGGCGTCGTCTCGCTAAAGTCACAATAATAGATGAACAAGGCTAAAAAAGCTGAGAGAGAAAGAAAGAGAGAGCGCGCACATGAACACACAGGAGCTGCTGAGTGTGAGTGAACAATTCGAAATAGGAAATAGCTCAATGCTGGATTCAGTAAAAACAGCAGCATGTGGATACTATAAAAGGAAGTTTGTTCTCACAATGAGAAATATTTACTAGTTTTTAAATGATGACCCATCACAGGATTAAAAAAAAAATAGCAAAACAATAAATCTAGCTTTTTAAATAACTCAGTGGAAAGTTGATGTCATGGCAAGGTTCTCTCCTCTCAGACTGCCATTTTAATCACACCCAAACCCCACCAATCAAGTTTTACATGGTATAAATAAGCTAGGATTAGGCAAGGACACTACAGAAAGCAATCAATGGCTCCCAGCCACATTCATCGCTTGGTTTTAAGTGCTTAAAAGGCAGTGCACACTCTCTGTGCCGTTCTGCTGCTCCTCTACACGTTACATTCCCTCCCTCTTCTACTACTGTATCTAGATATACATATCTAAAAAAGGGCTAAGAAGGTCTCTGGATCTGATTTACCTGGGGTTTTGAGAACTCCTGGGTCTGTACTTGGAGGCTCAAGCCTCCCTGCAAGCACAGTACAGCACACTGGCAACCGCTGGCACGAGGCTCTTCACGCACTTGAAGGATCACTTAACGCACAAGCACAGTGAGCGTACACAGCTTGCTAGGCAAAGAACAGCAGGCAAACAGCGTCCCCGCCTTGAACTTATAGTCCAAAGGCACATACAAGGAGAGTGCAGAACAACTCAGGAGGACTGCATAAAGCTTTAATGCCTCTGTATGTAGAATTAACACATTTTTAGTTAAGTACGGACACTAAGGAATAACGCAGAATCAAGAGTGGACAGCATATGCAAAAGAGGCAATGAGAGCAGACAGGATGGTGGGGAGGAAGGAGGAAAGCTTAGCTGAGGTCCTATGGATGAAGGCAGAAGCTTGAAGAATGACATCCAGAACCTCACCCAAGCAGCAGAAGGGCAGACAAGCAAGGAAGGTGTATTTAAGCTTGCAGAAGGATGCCAAAATGATCAAAACAATCAACATTATCTGCAAGGGAATGGAAAGAGACAGTTTTGGAGTAAGAGACAAACACTGCTGGCTAGCTTTTGCTCGCTGACACGTGATACAAGTAAGTCCAAGAGACTACCAAACCAAAAAGACTGGGTATGGCATGTATCCTGGGAGAACATTAATCTGCTTGGAAAATACATGCCTGGATTAGGAGGGTTTATACTTCAGTAAAGGAAAAATAAGTCTTCAGGGTACCAGGCATCTTCTCATAAAGCATTTGATACTGGCCACAGCTCAAGAGAGTACAATTTGTTCAGTCTTACCCAGGATTGTGAAAACAGTAGTTGGGTTTACGCATTCAGATAAGGGCAAGTTGGAAGCGCAAAAGGACAGCAAGACATCAAACTTTGAAGAGAACGATGGAGATACTTGCATGGCCAGGGAAGAGAGCTGGTTTAAACTCTGAGGATAAAAGAAAATAAAAACTGCAGAGGATTCAATGACAGCTTGAAAAATATGTTTGAGACACACAAGAAATAGGAGATCCCAGCGTTAAGGAGAGGACTGAACCCCCCAAATGACCTCAATTACACATTCTAATAAATAAGTAAATCAAGAAAACTTCTCAAACCAATCTGTGAAGTTGGGAAGAGTTACTTTAACAGGAGATCCTAAGTCCCAAGAAATCAAAGATTTGTGAAAGTCATAGCTCCCATCAGACCTATGGGTTAAAAATCTGATTAACTTCTAGACTCCAGTAGACAAACTCCTCTGCTTTTGCCACTGGCTCCTTGCCTACCTTCACAGAGCTCAAAGCGATTTCAGGGGATCACTTACACTGTCCTGGGAAGCGAAAAGAACGAGGATTAGACACCACAGATGATCTGTAATGTATGAGGGAGGAGGCCATGGAGTTGTATGCATGGTAAAAGGGAACAGGTTTTACTTGCCCTCAGGTCAGATGTTCCTGCAAGCACCTGCAGTAAAAATTCCAGTAAGCTTCCAGGTTCCTGAGGCATTGGTCACTTGGAAGAGTATTTGCACCCTGGGAAAAGAGAGGAACCTTGTGCTCTAAATATTGCAAAAGCTGCCTTACAGATTTCCGATACTGGCACGTTCAAAGCAGTGGAAGACATTACTAATGCTGGAGGAAGGAAGACTGGATGTTCAGAAAGGTTATACCAGACAGCTCTTAACACAGTGAGACACAACGTACTACACTGCGAATATCCACTCCGACAGCGCTGTAGTCATACCCGAAAGGGGCATGAGAAACCAGGGTGTAGATTTACAGCACGTTCACTGCCCCGCAGTAACTGCAGTACTTTATGCAGTACCCACTTTCACAAAGTGAAAGTACCCACTTTCACAAAGGGATACGTTACCTTACACTTGCAAAGCATGCACATGTACAGTTTCCATACGATGACCAGCATGTTATGTACATTTAACTTTTGGCAACTTTCTTCCTTCGCTCAGAAAGGCAAGACTTGTAAGGCCTTTGAGTCAATCAGCTGACATAGCACCAGAGTGGAAACAACAAATGTTTTGCTAGGAAAGCTCTTCCTCCAGGTCATATGTATCCTCATACAGGGAGGGCTGGACCTTGCAGTACCAGAATACAAGGCTAAAGATAGAACTAGGCTGTCATCAGTATAACAGTGGAATTTCCTGACACATCTAGTGCATCTATTGTCTTTTCTTTCACGGAGAGCGTGGTTGCAAACAAAGAAATAAAACAAGGCCGTTTGGCAATGTCAGAGTTTCACAGGAACCAACATCCATAACTAACATCAGGGAATGCTACAGTACTTTTTTCTCAATCCAGTGCTGAAAGGATATAACCAAAAACTTTCTCACCTCCCTGACAGGAATGTCAACAAACTGGTCAAACAACGTTGTAAAGAAGCGCAGCACAAGGATCATTCTTAAACAGGTTCTGAGCATTCACAAACCTTAGCATGATTAAGCAAGGTCTGAGGCAGAGCTCCAGCTGTCTGATGGATAGGTGTGCACTAGTCCTCTCAGAAACACAGAAATTACGTGTTTGGCCTCATCTTACTGCAGTTGCACAAGTGGATAGTGAGATAAAATTGCACATGGGGCACCTCAATGGAGCCAGACAAAAGGATGGCAGATTTCAAGGGCCAGTATTAGATGGACTTCAGAAGCTGTATCTAGACTGACACGGGCTGTTGCTGTTCAAACATCTTTTTTTCCTCAGATAGAAGTATATGCTCTTTGTGTTCACCTTTTTTTTCCCTAGGATCTCCTAGAGCCACGGAAAGCATCAGTGTTTAAACAAGGCAGAGGCAGATGCAGCAATGCTCACCTGAGAGGGACTGCCACAACAGTCACGTCCAAGGCTGGCTACGCGGAGGCAACGGTAG